CCTCGCTTGAGACAACTAAGGATAAAGATAGGTAATTATGAAATTATTTAAAAACTTTCATTCTTATAAACGTAGAATTGGTAAAAATCATCGTCGACGGTGAACCTAGGAGCCAGAAAATTGTGGTGATCATTTAAAACAAAGTTCACAGTTTTTTTCTGTTTTTAGTGCAAATATTAGAACCTAAATCATGGAGAAGAAAAGAAAGAGAGGGAATAAAGGGAAAAATTGGGTAATAAAAGAAATATAAGGATAGAGAGAGGGCAGATTCCTCTGATTATAACAATGAAATCTTCGCTCCGGTAACACGAAAGAAAAGTACACAAGGCAATTAAAGGTTTGAAGACTGTATTCGACATAAATTTACATTTTTTTAAATCAGATTCTTGCATTGTTCCAAGGATACTACGAGGCATCATAACAGGGGCTGCTACGACCTCTATAATCTAGATGAAGATGATAAAACTCCTGCAAACCTTCCAGGCTGAAAATCCTTCAGTGATTCTGTAGAATGGGCAAACTTTTTCCAGCCATGCCCGGTACCATGGCAATATGTGCCAAACGAGGAACTCTCACCTAGCTGGGATTACTTCGATGTTCATGACGGAGGTGGTTATGTTGCAGATCCAGGCTACAATAGCAGTACAGCTCAGGCAGTCATCTCCGACTTGATAGAATACGGTTGGATCGACCGGCAGACCCGCGCCGTCCTGCTTGTGTTCACTATCCATAACAATAACACAGGCCACCTGATAATTTCAGCGTATACCATTTGGAAATATTGCCGACAGAGTATGGCTATCCTTTTTCAAAGATAGACACTCTTCTACTGACAAGTGCTGAAATAGGCTTTTACGAGTTTTATCTGATTTGTCAGTTGTTATTTATCATGATGGCATTCGTCTTTCTCATCGTCGAGATGTACAAGCTGTATCGAGCCAAGTGGACCTGTTTCAGAGATGTGTGGAACTGGGCCGGTGGAAATTCTACGAATATTTTTTTCGGTACTGGTCGTGGTATTCTACATAATTAAGTCAAAGCTGATACTTAAACTCGTTGCTATTGTGAAGAAAAACCCATTCGCCACCGTAAGTTTTGGAGAAGCCGTTACCTGGAGCCATACAGTAACCACTGTTTTAGCCATTGCAGCTTTCCTAACAACTTTGAAACTTTTACACATAACTCGCTTCAATCTGCACGTCTCCACAATGATGTCCTCATTTCACGTTTCTAAGAGTTTATTGTTGTTCTATTCTGTGATTTTTGTCATTATTTTCGTCTCATACGCTCAGTTGGGGAAGCTGGAAAGATGCGGATCAGAATGCCCCAGTGAGGGAGGATGACACAGCTTCTACTAATTCCCAATACAACTTCGATTTTCCTCCCAGAGAAACGTCCGATGATAGCGGCTCAAAACCTAACGAAAACTTGAGCGCCAAAGTTAAGCAGACAGCCATTAAAAAATCCCCATCACAGCATTTGGCAACCAAGTTAGAGTTCAGAAGAACTTCATCTAAACTACATCAGCTCGAAGAGTCTTCCTCGGTAACAACCACTTGACGACACAACACTGAATACAACAGGAGCAGTGAGTTAAAGAATTCTTCCGAGGATGAAATTATGAAATTTATTAGACGCAGATCAACTCGCGACCAATCCACTTAAAAGTCGGAAATTTTCACCACCAACCTCAAAATAATCGAACTGGTGGTAAATAAGAAAAATAGGCTAATCAATTGTGCTGTAAAATTTTGTTTTTCATGGATGTATTTTTAGCTTATGTCCATCTCAAGAAGAGGTCCATTAACAAAGGTGTGAAACATATGAACGAAAGTTTTAAGAATTAAACCACTAATTTCTCAACATCGACTCTAAGTGCACAAGTGTAAGGATCAGTACAGTGCCTCTTTTGAAAACCAGTCTCGCTTGAACTACATTTTTCATTTTTCGTCTAAGAGGGGGAATTTTTTATAATTACTATGACTATATAGAAAGATTGTATAAGATTTATCGACGCACCAATTAATAAATTCTAATAAAACCATATTTCAAGATGTAACAACCCTCCGTAATTGGGAAACTGCCATTGTTTTGAAAGAAACTTGCTTGTCAAACTTTATGACGATTTCAAAGCTTTTTCGTAATAATGACTGACTTGAATAGCTGTTCAAGACGAGAGAAGCGAACAAGTTCATCTGCAGTGATAGCGCAGGCAGATGCATTTTATGTATGACACATAAGACAGATTTTGCATAAACCTTTTTCGATCCTTTGCTGACATTTACTACTAATTTTGAATGGTGTAACGACTCCAAACGATTTCTTATCTGACGAGTTACGAGTTAAGATAACAGAGTTAATGCTAGAAATAACTTAGTTGCCCGGTATTAAGCAGTGAATATTACGAAGTTTTTCCCGGCAGAATGTTCCCAGGCATTTTCTTTTTTTGAACTTCGTACCTTACCGTTTCGAAATGTAGTTATAGCTTTATGTTACGATCTTTTGACTGACTTGATGACGAACCAATGTAACTCCGATGGCTTGGACTTGCCCTAGGGTCCATACCATATGCAACTAAATTTCCCCAAGTACTAATTTTTTCATTTTTTATGGCTCACACTTCCTTTCCATCGATTCTGTCATTTGACTCCAGTTGAAACAGGGCTGAAATAGCTGTTGAAAGGCCAGCCTTAGACAAATGGCCGTTATTCTGGTACACGCTCGATAAAGAAAATGATGTGCATTTTACGCCTGTTTGTGGCTTGATCAGTTCTCGTCAGTTCAGCATTGCGATCTTACTCTCGCTCTGACAAAACTTGAAGTCATTTTGCTGCGTTGTAGTGGAAGTGCATCCTTAATCTCGGGCTTTCATGCAGGCAGCTTAAAAAAACTATGCATAGATCGTAATTGGCACCATCTTGTGGACGAACGGAGGCAAAAATATTGATAATTGAAAAAACA